GTTACAATTAGGGAGAAAAACATGGAGCTCCTTTTTGGACCCTTCCCGGGTGCGGCTTTTATCCCCTTCTCAATACTCCGCCCATCAGTCTCATGTGTCATGCCTCCATTGGACCATTAACCCCACGTGAGATCAAGCCGTTGACCAATAAAGACATGGTGACCAAATAAGGTCTTATTTGTGATTTTGGCAAACAAAAGGAAGCAGGAAATCAGCGCCATCTTGTAATGGCGACCACACACGGCCTTCCACAGTTAAGGACTTCACCAAAGTGCTAAAGAGCAACAATGTCAGTTTAGAGGTAAAGGTGTGCCTGATCCAGGCCATGATCTTAGTAATTATGTGCATCAGAGAGCTGGACAATGACTAAGGATAACAGAAGAAATGATGTCTTTGAGTTGTGATGCTGGAGAAGAGCATGGACCACCAAGAGAACAAACAGGTCTATCCTAGAGAGGGTAAAACCAAGATGCTCCTTGGAGGCAAGGATTTTGAAGTTCTGGCTAACATACTTTGGGCATGTTTCCAGGAGGAACCAGTCCTTGGAGAAGGACATTATGTTTGGAATGGTGGAAGGACTGAGCAGGAGAGGATGACCCTGGAGGAGCTAATTGACATAGTAACTACAATAATGTAGGTGTATCAGAAACAGTGAAATTGGCTTAGGGTAGCGCAGGGTTCAGAGCTATTGTGTTTAGGGTCACTATGAATCTTAGTAGGTTAGAGGGCACTTAGTAACAACAACAATCTGATTGTATTTAATGAAGAAAACCATAGCACTCAGGAATCACTTAGTCAAAGCTCTTCTTTCCCAGATAGTGATTAAGAATCTTTTCTGAATACAAGTATTTCCTGAATAGTAATCTGATTCACTTTCTACAATTTCTAAATTAGCCAGGTATCTTTGGATCCCTTTGTTGTGTTGTCGATTGCTGTTGAGTCGAGCACGACTCATAGCGACACAATGAACAAAAGACCTGAATCCTTTCTAGAACTATCATCATTCATAGAGTTTCCAGAGGCATGTTGTTTAGGAAGTAGATGCCACTCCAGGTAATGCAAATTGTTAATATGTTTGGCTGATAATCAAAAGAGTAGAGTTTCCAGATAACCCAGAGGTATGTACCCCAGGAGAAAGGTGTGGCAATAAACTAGATAAATTTGCCACTGAAAACTCTATGGAGCATAGTTCTCTTTTGACACACATGAAATTATCATGAGTCAGAATTGGTGGCAACTGGTTCCTCACCCACTACCACTGAGTCATACTGTAGTATACCACTGAGTCAGAACCAACTCAGAGCTCAACCTACAGTGGGTTTTCAGAGGCAGGAAATGCTATAGGTGGGGAATGACCATCTTTCTCCTTCAGAGCAGCTGGTGGATTCAAACCATGTGCCTTTGAGTTGGCAGTAACCTCTTTACCACTAAGCCACACAGAAAATCCTAAAAGCTCTTGCATGATAGTAGCTCTAAAGGCCAGAGTAGAACTCATCATTATGTTCTGGAGTCTATAAATCTTAATAGGAGCAGATGGCTTCTTGCTACTGAGGAGTAGCTGGTGGTTTTGAACTACTGACTTTTCTGCTAGTAACCCAAGACATAATCCACACCACTATCAAGTCTTCTTTAATTGGTTTTAAGGGTCCTCAATCTAGATGAAGGGAGCTCTGGTGGCCTAGAGGCAAGAAACTACACTGCAGTCCCGAAGGCATGCAATGCAAGTCCACCAGACGCTCTACAGGAGAATTGGCAATCTCCTCCCAAGTGATTAACTGCCTCTGAAAAACCGCCCGAGGGTCAGCTGTGGGTCAGTTCCAGCTCTACAGTACAAAACAATAATCTAGATCCTAGAAATCAGGCTGAGGATGGATCCAGAAAAGAAATCTTAAAACAGTTAAATGTACTGTAGTTCTAGAGTAGAACAGAATATGCAAATATTCAAATTAGAGTCAATTATTCAGGGTATCCATTTAAACAGGGGCCCAAATAAGAAACAATCAGTGGACATTTAAATAGAAGGTTCTAACTAGATCCAACTTCAAATTCACATACAGCATTTAAAAATGTTCTGAACTCAGAGACCTTAATTCAGATGTATGGCCCCACTCATGATATATTAGACTCCTTACTTTCTGAGGCTAAGGATCAGTTTCAGAGTTCAGGTGAAGGTGGCTGATTGGGGATAAAATTAAACTGAGGAGTCAAGCAGAACATTACAGAGAGTGGATCAAAGTTTGAGAATGATAGACTTGAAAAGGTGTAAAAATGATGAGACAGGATCCTAAGAGTATTGGGAAAAGACTCTCAGAAAAAAATGGCAGCATGAAGGCAAATCATGCAGAAGGGAAAGAAGCTGAGAAAGAGACCATGAGGCCAATATTTGACCACGAGGAGGTAGTTCCATTTCTAGGACAGCCTTATTGATTTACAGGAACTGGAAGGAGGGAGGAGGGGAGAAGACAAAAGATTAATCTTAAAAAAAGGGGGGGGGGAGGAAGTTAAACTTTCTGTTTGGGCTGAGGGATGGAAGGAAGAAGTTTGTAATTGGTATTTAAATGTGTAAGATTGATTAATTATTAGCCAAAATCATCTTCTCACCCTTTGTTTCCGAATGATATTAGCATTATAAGTACTGTTATTACCAGGCTAGCTGTTGCTGACTCTCCAGCTGGTTTTCAGAGGCAGTAAATCACATGGGAGGAGACTGCCCATCTTTCTCCGGAGTAGCAGCGGGTGGATTCGAACCACGTGACTTTAGGTTGTCAGCACAGCTCCCTACCATTAAGACCACCAGAGCTACCCAGGGTAGTTAGTAGGTACCATTGCAAGGCGTTTAGATTGTGGTAAAAGACAAAGGAAAGAATAAAAAGGCACATAAAAAGGGAAGAGGGAATAAAGATATAATAAAAAGAAATGTGATGAAAAACAGTAACATTTCAAAAAAGTGGAGAAGAAAAATACGTGGGAAGTGAAAGCGGTCGGTGAAAAAATGATGAAAGGCAGAAGTTTGGAAAACATCTATTAGGTTATTAATCTCACGGTCGCATGCCACTTTCCCCACATAAATTAATGTAATATTTATACTGTAGCTGTATTTTAAACATACACGCAAACATAAAGTTCACTTTTAGGACGCATTTATATTTGGGCGCATTTTTGTTAAAGCTTTTAACAGTGAAATATAAGATGAAAGAGTAGAACTTTTGGGCTGCAGAGGGGAGGGTGTTTGAAGACGAAAGATTTCGAGATTAGTTGATTCCTTAAAGAGACACATTCGCCTACTTCTTAAGAAATTTTCAATGCTGTCTTAAAAAATACCACAACAGGTTATTAACATGGTCAGGATAAGGCGAGGGAGGAGTGGGGGAGAATTATCCAATCAGCCCACTCCAAAATGTAGCCAATAAATTCATTCATCATTTTGCCATTTCCTCTATATCGTATACCGCTCAAAGACAGCAGATTTTGATTTAACCACCTTATACTTTGCGTCTGTACTCGTGATGATTAATTTTGGTACTGTCCCTGAGAGGAAGGCTCCATACAGAAGGCCTTTTGAGACTTGCATTGAACGTAGCACTACATAATTGCAACGATCAACGTGCATACAATAACTTGGCTCTCTATGTAGTTTTTCCAAACTTCTAATGTGTTTTGGTGATTTTTTTTTTTCTTTCAGGCTTAGCAAAAATTCTAAACGTGTATATAGTACTTAACATTTCTAATGCTCATGCCTCAACAGTCTTGTAGCTCACATTCCCTCAGCCTAGGCAAAGCAGGTCTCCACCCCCACCAGAACACACTCCCCAGACTCTCGATCGCACTTTCCCCATCCCCCCAAGCTTTCTAACCACATTGTGCGCACTCTTCCAGGCAGCTTTTCCACCGCCAGGGCAGTAGCAGCGCTCCAAGCCTGTCTTCTCTAGGGCGGTCACACGCGTCCATTCCCTGGGGGGGATCCCTCTTCCCGCATGGCTGCTGATTGGTGCCTCCCCCTACCCCACCCTTCCCGCTGCACTCCAGCCTCCATTCTACTTGGTTCCAGCTTAACCAGCCTCACCACCTTCTACCCTGGGAGAAAAGGGCCACTTTAGATAGCCTTGAAGCACCCTTCTTGGAGGAATAAAAACGTTAAAGAACAAGGAAAAAACAATTTCTCTAGGACTCATTTCTAGGATGGCCATCCTCATTCGTTCCCCTGTACTACCATCAACATCAATAATAACTGAAATCCCACACGTGCATGTTTCTGGAGCGAACCCTTACTGAAAGCACCACCCAGCGGGCCCTTTAAAAGGACGCGACCACTAAAGCCACGTGGGGGGTGGGAGAGACCCTTATTGTCTTCCCACATAAAACTCATTAAAACTCTTCAGTCCCAACAGCCTGAAAAACGGAGTACATCTGATAGTAGTTTATTGAGGTACACCTGACTCCCTCCAAGTGGCATTTCTCCTCTTTCTTGAGGCCCCAAGTACCTCCTTCTCTCCCCTTGTTGTTCAATGCTGCTGTCCGCGCCGGGGGTGGAAGGTGGGGGCGGGGGTTGTTGTTGTGGTGAGGGACAGCCCCGCCCCCTCCTCGTGTGCGGCCCCTCCCCCCGGCCCTCTGTTCGGCCCCCTCCCCCCGCCCCCCCAGCCCCATCTGTTTTCCCCAGCGGTGAGATGATTATATTGTATGGGACTGGGGGCGGCCGCAGCCGCAGAAGCAGAATGGGGCCAGCGCGCGGACCCTACCGGCAGCCGGAGCAGCAGCCACCTCAGTAACTCGGGCCCTCGAGCCGCCGCCGCCCCCCGCCCGGGTCGCCCGCCCTCAGCTCATGCATACGCCGAGCGGCGGCAGCAGCGGGAGTAGCAGCCGCCGCCGCCGCCACCCCCGCCGGAGTCGCTGAGGCGCTGCGCCGCGGCGGGAGTCAGAGCCGAGCGAGCCGAGCGCAGGCAGCGTGGGGCCGCTGAGGCGCGCTTCGAGCCCGGGGCCGCCGCCACCGCCGCGCCTGGGAGATGTGCCCGGAGGAGGGCGGCGCGGCTGGCCTGGGCGAGCTCCGCTCCTGGTGGGAAGTCCCGGCCATCGCGCACTTCTGTTCGCTCTTTCGCACAGCGTTCCGCCTGCCGGACTTTGAGATCGAAGTGAGTGCGGCGAGGAGCGGGCGAGGCGGCGCACCCTGTGCCTCTTTCTCCCTCTGCCCCCCTCGGGGAGTCCCGGGAATATCTGGAAAGAGGGAGTTGGGGAAGCGGAGACTTTGCCTGGGGTCGGAGGTTCGGGGCGCGAGGCGCGGAAGGGCATGAGGGCGGGCTGGGGCTCTTGTGGGCTGTGAGGCGGACGCCAAGTGCGGGCGTCCGGCTTTGGGACGTTCTCGCGGGCGGATTCTCCGGGAAGGTGAAGGGAGTAGCGGAAAGGAGGCGGGAGAGGCTCTGCTTTTGTAGGGGTGGGAATGAGGGGCGGCTCTCCCGGGAGTTCCAGGGAAGGCGAGGCTGAGCGTGTGGTGGGAGTGCGTGCACGCGCGCTCCCTTCCCGGTGCCATTGAAGCGGCGAGCCAGCTGCTCCGGGCGGGGACGGGGTCCCGGCGGGCTGAGGGGTTAGAGGGTGGGGGGCGCCGGCGGCGGATTAACTCCGACCTCGAGCCGGGAGGCGGCCGCTGGGGTCGGTTGGGGGAGGGGTCCGCTGCGTTGGGGACTGACTTTGCCCCCACTTTGGCGGGCGCGTTGAAGGGGGGAGCGCACTTTGCAGACTCCCCGGAGGCCCGCGGCACTCGGGGGGCGCTGTACGTTAACTTCGGCCCGGCAGAGATGGGGGCCCTGTTTTGGGGGGCTGGCTCTCCCCCGGCCCTCCGGCGCTCCGCTCTTGCTTGGCGCGGCTGCAGAGGGAAAGTTTGGGACTCCGTTATTCTTTTTCCAGCTCCTTTCCTCTCGGAATACTGCCTTTATTACGGGAGCTTTTTGAGTTGGTTACGCCACCATTATCCCTGCGGGCGAGTGTGGAGCAAAGGGATGGCTTTTCTGGCCAGGCCGAAGGTGCCTTCAAACCTGAGGCTTTGTGATAATTGAACTGAAATCAGTGGTTCCTCCCAGCAAGGCTGGTGGCGGGAGTGTGGGGTTTGGAATGCTCACCAAGGCGAAAGCAAGCAGCTCGCCCCACCGCTCAGCATCATCTTTTATTTTTATTTTTGGAAGGGGGTGTAAAATACTTGATTGGTTGGCAGGTTGAATTGCCTTTTGCCTTATGGCGGTGTATGTAGTGACTTGATCACCTTGTGCCTTTGGACAAAGGTAAACAGAAGCTGTTTGTTGATCACATTTTCTTTTCAGTTCTGCCAGTGGTTTCGCCTAAGAAGTAATAAAAATAATCATCACTCTTTTGGAGGAGGAAATCGTTGTTGTTTCCTTTCGAAACCCCACATAGGATACTTTCTGCCATTTTCTGGTTGATTTTACTCCCGAGATTTTATTTCCCTTCCCTTCCCTTCCCTTCATTTTTAGCTTTAGTCGCATATTCTGAAATATCACTTGCTTCCTAAATGAATGAAGTGTTCGAAGTTGCTCTGGTTGCCGTTCATGAAATCCGAGAAATAAAAAGATCAAAAAGAGAGTGGGCTAGGAGAATGAAGAGGAATGTAGACTGATAAAAGTAGGGCCACTCAGTGGCTTTTAGCGATTCTTCGTTCCTTAAGCTGATTAAAACAATGTGATTAAATCATAGGCTTTCCCCCATCTGTTTTTAGAAAGATTTAGTAACAGACATTTTACGGAGCACCACAGCATTTATCTTTAAAGTTTAAAAGTGAATGTAACTAATAATGGTTTTTAACAAAAATGTTTGTGTGACTTCCTGGAACATACAGACAACTCTGTATATTGTAGTACTAAGAGAATGAAAGATCTGTAAATCTTAAAAGATGCTGAATAGTTTTTCTGATGTCCTGCCGTTTCTTTTAGTTGATGTAAAATTGTGTCTAGGTTAATTATATCCTGCTGCTCAAAATGGTGGCTGTTGTGGGAGGTGTTGAGGCTGTCACAATGCCATCTTGGGTGCTGGTAAACTTGTCCTCTAGCCCTTTCCTTCCTTGAGAGATAGTAAAGTTAAGGTGATGTTGAGATCATCATTTTAGAGGTTCACTATCCATTCTGCCAATTTTATAGAGAAACCTATTTGCTGAAACTCAGTCATTATTCCCATTTTGTTGATTGAAAAATAGAGGTAACGAATTTTTTTTAAATAGGATTCAGCAAAGCTAGAGTATTCTATAAATAACTCATCTTAATGTTTTAAGTAAATTAGTTTCTGAGTACCATTTGGCTTGATTTCTAAAGGAAATATAAATTGACTAAATATTTGTATGCATAAAAGGTGAAAAATCATTGTAGTTACATGGTTAATTGGGGCCCTTTGGAGATGACTGATGTCTTGGCATCTTGTGTTTTTAGAAAGTAGCACTTTTTGTTAAGGAATATTTCATTTGAAATATATGTAATACTCATGAGTATTTGGGATCCCATATGTACACATTTTTGAAGATTACTGAATCCCCTCTTTTTTGGAGATGTTCAGTAAAATGGATCACAAATGATGGCAACATTCCCTCTCTGCAGTTCTTATATAATTCTTCATGTTAGGTGTTTTAAGCTTTCAGTAGTTACCAAAAATACTAAAAATTTAAGAACTCATTTCTTTAACACTTTTTACCCCATTATAGTGTCATACTCACTGAAAATTATTTTAAGTATTTTTATATTTGTTTAGGTGGAATTCTTTTTTTTTAATCCATTTTATTGTCCTGACAGATTGAGAAATAATCCCTTGACTAGTCTTTATGATGAAGAGGAAGATCCTTAAAGGAAATAATCTAGTTTTAATGCAGAGTTGTACCTGTTAGGCCAGGTGGAAAGGCCTTACAAACTTACTTTACTGCAACTCTAAAAGATAGACATGACATGATGGACAATATCAAATAGTAGAAGTTGGATCACAGCATTTTTAGAAAATCACTTTTCAGCTGTGGAAAAGATTTCATTTTATACTTGACCACCAGGCTGAACCCAGGGATTTATAGAAAATTTTGGAAGCAGTGTCCTCAAGGACTTGGCTTCTATTTATCTAAACTGAAGCAATCTCCCAGATAGGTGAAGGGCTGGGAGGATTCATGCTGCAATTCTGTAAGAAATCATGACCTCCCACTTTTAAAGTGTGACTAATTTTTTTTAATGTAGAAACAAATATTTTTACCCTATTAACCTTGAATATGCAGGCTTTATATGGTAGAGATGACAAACTTGCTTCTTGATTTCAGTGCCTGTTTAAGGGTTTGTATATTGCTTTTTAACTGGTCCTCACAGATGCAGTCTGTAATCTTTTTTTTTTTGTCATTTGCAAATACTAATGTTTATTTGAGAACACCTATAGGGCCTTAACCACATAAAAAGCCCTGAAGCTAGTCTGATGATAATTTCTATTACGTTAAGAACACTTCTTTGGTGGCTCTGAACAGTCTGTAATCTTTAATTGACTATAAAGATAGTGCCTTATTTCAATTGTTTAAAAATTCCTCATTATAAAATTAATACATGTACATTATAGAAAACTTCAAAGTTGTGCCAAAATACAGTTCATGGGCTCAAAGAGGCCATCTCTTGGCTTTCCAGGGCTGTAAATCTTAATTGGAGGAGATTGCCTGTCTTTCTCCTGTGAGGCCGCTGGTGGATACAGTGGGCAGTGTTTGCAGCTCACCGTGAACTTGCTGTCATGAGAATTCCTCCAAAACCTCAGTTGCTGTGCAGTCAGATCCAGCTCATAGGGACCTCTGTCAGTTCATAATGGGAGGAAATTGCTCACCTCCCTCCCACAGAGCTACTGGTGAATTAAAACTATTGGAGACAAACAACATTTTGGTTAGTGTCATAACACCCTATCGACTGTGAAAGGATTTTTAAAAGCTCTTATTGCCCTCGAGTCTTAACATGCTGACTTTGCAGTGTGGGTTTCTGAAACTGTAAATCACATGAGAGAAGACTGCATATTATTTCTTGAGGAACTCCTCCTGGGGGATTTGAACCACCAGAGAGGTATAGCTCTTAGGTTGGCACAGGTCTGTAGGCCGCCAGAGCTGCTTACCAAATAATTAAGACCATCCATCTACAGTCTTACCTTGCTTCAGAAGATCAAAGACTATTGCCTTCAATTTGGATTACATCTCAACAAGAAAACAAAAATCCTTACCACTGGGCCAATTGGCAACATCAGGATAAGTGGAGAAGAGATGAAAACTGTTAATAATTTCGTCTTGCTTGGCTCCACATTGTTAACCTTGGTACCAGCAGCCAGGAAGTCAAAAGACTGGTGCATTTGGAAAGTCTACTGTTAGGGACCTCTCCAGAGTGCTGAAGAGCAATGATGTAAATTTAAAGACTAACATGCCCCTAGACCTTGAAGTTAACCCTGTGCATCTGAAAGTTGGACAGTGAATAATTAGAATGACAGAAGGAAAACCAGTGCCTTTGAGTGGTTTTTGAGGAAGTGCTGGATTTTCCATGGACTCCTCACAGAACAAACAAATGTCTTAGGGAAGGTGCAACTAAATGGGTGCTCCATAAAGGCAAAGATAGTGAAACTTTATGTCAGGTATTTTGGGGATACTGATAGGAGGAGCCAGTCCTAGGAAAAGAACATTATGCTTCTAAAGGGCCAGTGAAAGAGGAAGGATCTTTAGCACAATGGACTGACACAGTTGATGAACAACAGGCTCAAGTATAGCAGAGATGATGAGGATGGCCCAGAATAGGGCAGGGTTCAAATCTGTTGTTCATAGGCTCATTATGCAGCGCTTGAGTCAGCTCAAGGGCACCTACCACCAATAACCTTACCAAAGGAGCTTTGGTGGTGGTAGTCTTTATCAAGTCATGCTTTTAATCCAAAGGATGAGTTGAATGTCTCCAGTGGTTCAAATCCACCAGTAGCTCTGCTGGAGAAAGATGGGCAGTCTCTTCTCATTTCTATTTACTTACAGTCTTTGGAATCCAATAGAGGGTCCTTATGAGCCAAACCTTGATTGTAGTGAGTTTGAGTTGATAATGTCACCCAAGATTCCTGGTTGGGGGGGAGCAATGGTTAAGCCATCTGCAGTTCTGCCAAGGAT